TGCGAAGTCACCTGGCGGCAGCCGGAGGAGTGGTGGTCGTTACCCCGAGGTGTAGAAGTGAGGAGATGTGTCCCTGTGAGCAGAGGGATAAATGTACCACTTCAGGCTCTTCTGGGAAGGCCTGTATCTGAATTTCAGCTTCTCTGTTGACTTCAGTTTGCTTATTCAGTAGTACTTTCCTACCTGTTGATCGAGATATGAAAGTGATAAGCAGAAGATTACTTTTTTTTAACCTACCTTTCTATTTTCTCCTCCACCTCTTACTCATCTGAACCCTCAACCAATATTTAGCAGCATTTTAAATTCCACAAACGTTCTGCAGCTTCCTTTCAATGGCACGATAACCGCTAACCACTTAATTACAGGGTGATGACTACGCTGTGGTGTGGCTGAGTAATTACAGGGCGTTTGTGGTTTATCATGACAGGGTTATTCCTCTCCCCTGGACAGCAGTACAGGTTACCCTTTGGGATCTCCTAAAGTTAATTGCATGCTAATCCACAGCAGCTTGCTAATGCCCTGTTGTTATGTATCTGGACTCCTGAGGCCTACCAAATTATTTTTATCAGTACCGTACTGAACAAGCTAAATGGCTGGGCAGTTTATGGAAAGTTTGCAGATTTTCTGTACTTGGAGATCCCACGTATTGCCCAGCCCTTAACACGAGCACAGAGTCCTCTGTCCCCAGCATCACGGGAGTGTCTTGCATTGCTCCCTGTACCCCTGGGGGAAGCCTGGACCAGGGTGCTGCGAGTATTACTCTTGTCAGTGCAATTTATTATCAATTGTCTGTCTTTCTGGTCCCCAAGATATTAATTCTCCACCTTCTTTTGTGCCTTGGAGCATGCTCTGTGGCCCAGAGAGCCTTCTGGGGGACCCAAGCATGTTCGGGGGGCAATAATGCATGCAGTAACTAAACATCTTAATGACCTTCTTGGGCAACCTGAAGTCCACATGAGCACAGTCCCAGTTTTCACAGCTCTTTGCTAAGGCTTTTATCCTTCTTAATCATCCTATAAATCTACAGTTCGGTGATAGCCATCTTGTCTTGAGGTGATACTTCTCAAGGATATTTTAGTTTACCTTTTAAAACAGGTAAAATACATTATAGAGAAAAGCATAGTCACAAAGTCACTGCGGATCAAGTATGTGTAGGACTTTGTCTTCTGTCCGATGATGAGAAAAAAATCCACCACAAAATTCGTGGCAGTAGGTCCACAGAGTACCCACCCTTCTGGAAGCACCTAAATCCAACTTCAACTGAACGTCAGCCTTTGGGGGACTTGAGTGTAAGGTCCATGCATCCCTTGACTCTTCAGCAAGCCCTGCTTCAGTCAGCTGAGTGGTACCAATCTGGGCAATGGGATCCAACCTGAATCCCACACAGATGTGCTGCAGCTGAGACAAAGAGTGTGAAAATGAAACATTTTTGTCAATTTTTTTCATATTTTTCCCTTTTTCCCTTCCTCAACTCTCCCATGCTCACTGGTATTCGAACATTTCCAAGCTACTGGTCCAATCTACTTTGGGATCAACACAGAAGAGCCTAGCTTAGCTTGAAGGTACAAGAACTAACATAAATACTGCCAAGTAATGCAGTAAAGAGGCCAGCAGATACTGTTTCCTTAACGCTGATGGCTGCGTTAGGAAGAATGGGTTCTATCTTTAAGCCCAACATTTTCAGAAAGGTTCAGCATGCACATTTGGAATGAGATTTTCCAAAAGACATGTCCCCATTTCAACCAGCCTGGGGAGCCTCACAGAAGTTCAGGGTGCTCAGCCCTAGCTCCTTGCCATGACCAAGGGAGCACGTGTGGACTTCAGAGAGAAGGTTGATGATGTGAAAAAAATAATACGCCCATGTCCTCAGCCTGGAGCTACCATGGCAGTGCTGCCTCACTGCAATTTATGTGCTTGGTAGCCTTGGGGTATATCGCTTCCAATGGAGCTTGTCCCGTGGGAGGTGGAGAGTACTGCGGCCTTCTGTCAGCGCTCTGGCATGTGTTAGTTTGTCTCTACGGATGAGACTCATCTATTTAATTTTAGCTGTCCCATAGGGTCCCTCTGCCACAGGCCTGGGATACAGTACACCTCCCCACCACAACCACCTCCATCGGCACAGAGTCAGTCACTGTCGGGAGGAGCTGGAGGACTGACCTGGGCCTCGTGCTTCCCTCCGCGCGGTTAATGGCTGCAGGGGGACTGTTGCAGAAAGGATTCTAGGCACCCCCAGCAGCCAAGTCCGCCAGGCTGCCAGCCTAATTGGGAGGGTGAGTTCGGCAGGTTGACTGAACTGTTGCAGGACATGGTGCAGGTGCTGCACATTGCACTGAGCATCTTCTCCACCTAGCCAGAAAAATAACCCAAAGACTTTAAATAACTTTAAAGTAATAAGTTTGTATTACTTTTCCTGATCAACCTCTTAAAGCGAAGGAGACTTCTTTCAAACATGGTATGCAGTCAGAAATGTCTTTTGTTCCAGACCAAATAAAATCATAGTCTCTAGGAGAAATTTTGATTTCTCAAACATGCTTGCTACTGAGCGGTACACTGTTGGTGTAAAATAGGCACACATTATGTGGTAAGCCATGTTTGTGAAGATGATACCCCTCTGCTGAATGCAGGATGATTACATTTTGAAGCAAGGCTTTTCCCGGAGCTGGGGTCATCTCATTATCCTCTGGATTGTGCCATGTCGGATAATTTTGAACAGTCTCTTCTTTAGAGAAGAGGCAAAGGCTCCAGATCCCAGCCTGCTCTTGAAGCATCTCCTCCTTCACTGTCCCAGTGCAGAAGGCAATGCCCGCCCAGGCCGGGAGGGACTGGGGAAGGGGAGACCAGCTCCCTGTTCAACGTCTTCAGTTAGGGGTGGTACAGAAGCAATGTCCATAGCCTGAAATGATGATTGAGAAGTGTTGAGTAGCCTTGATGCCAGGTACAGGAGCACAGGCTGGGGTAAGGCGTCCTCCGTCTGCAAAGCTACTGGTGGGTTTGTAGGCGTAGGCAGGCATGTACGTTCCGGCCGCTGCATGGTTGCGTGGTTTCTGTGCTGCTCAGGGAACCCATAGCCAAGGTCTGGTGAGCCAGCTGGGCGTATCTGCTCCATGGGGCTGGGGAGCCAGAAGGAACGGCAGCTCTGATGTGAGAGGGCCAGTGGGAAGGCTAAAGCTCCTCAGGTCCTGCCCATCACCTCTGTCTGCACAGCATTTCTGAGTTTGCAAAAAAACATGAAAATGTTTTGAATTGCATCCATTTGTAGCTGTAGAGGTTGCAGCAAATCCTGAGAAAAGAGGGAGGAAATGTGTCAGCGTAGGCAGTACGCAGCTATCGAATGGATCAATGGCACAGATATAGAGAGGAAATGTAACGTATCCCTGCATGCAGTTATCGCAGTGTCGGGGGAAACTGTGTGTGCAATGGCCGCATGCCTTAGGAAAAGGACGAAGCGAGGGGCAATAGCCAAGGGGTCTGGGATGGATGCTGGGATCTCAGCTGTCCAGTTCTCTGTTGCCCACCACACTGTGTCCGAGTCACCGCAACTTGTACGAAATGACTGTGAAATGCATGGTAGCGTTTGCCCTTTTTCCTTGTTCCTTTTGCACAAATGTGAGATGTGAAGCAGAGAGCAGCCAGGTTTTGTGGCCTTTAAATTATGCCAAATTTAAAAAAGAACCCCCCCCAACTCCTGTCTCCCCCCCCTCCCCCAAGCATCAGCATTGATTTGAAGAGAAGAACCTGCTTTAGAAAACGTGTTTACATGTTCCATAATGATTAGTGCAAATCTCCCCCCTGCCTAAATTTTCAAAGAAAACAAGTATTTCTGTGCAGCAAAAAGCAATTCCTGTGGAAAATATAGTAAGTAAATGTGGGCATCTCCAAGCTGCAAATAATCTTGTGCGTACGGTGATTGGGAACAGCAGAGCTCACTTCTGTGTGCAGCGATAAGTGTGGAGAACTTTAATGTTTATGTAAGAAAAACTGTCTATAGATGAGACCAGTACCAGGAAAACTGGTAAAATCCAGGATACCTGCTTTGGATAACTGCGTTACTATACGTTAACGTAAACCACTTGGCTTAGCGCTATCTCTGCAAGACGAGCTGCAATCTTACTTGTAATGAGTATGAGTCTGAAAGCAGACGCTCCCATTTGGGCTTTGTTCAGCACGCTCGTTGTTTCTAAAAGAATGCAGAGCCACAGCAGAAGCGAAATTTGGAAGATCGCAGACTCAAGGGCAGCTTTCAGTGCAATTTGCACTTTCAGGTCTGCAAGGGATCCGTTGCCTTGCCTGGGCCACTGATCACTTGCAGCGCCCATGGTTCAACTGCAGATCCGTGCCGCCAGGACCGGTGCTCGGACGGTTGCGCGCCGTCAGGCGATTCCCAGGCAAGGCGGCCGGGCGACGCTGTGCGTCTGAGCCCAGGCTTGAGGTCGTGGGCAGCAGATCCGTGCTGGCAGGGCTCAGGGCCCCCGCGAGTGCCCGCGCATCGTCTGCCCGGCGCTCCCCATCGCTGCACAGGGCCCCGGGCAGAGAGGGGCGCGTGACACCACGCAGGGTGCATTTTGCCTGTAGAAAGTGAATAAATGGTTTTTACCGGGTTCATGCGGTCGCTATGTGTTTTGACCTGTCAGGAGCTGTTTCAGAACACGTGTACTTTTTTTTTTTTTCTTCTTTTTTTTTTTTTTTTTTCCCTGCCTAAACTGTGAATTCCATATCAGGTACTAACAAACATGGCTCATCTCAAAAGAATCCATAATTAACTAAAAGAATTCATAATTAACTTCCACTGCAATTTGTTTGGGTCTTTCTTTACATAAGATGTAAGCTCTGGTGGGAATTTGAAGTGCTCTGAAGCGTATGCTGCCTTCTGCGTGACTGCTGCGGGCGCCCCGGGAAGCCGACCTGCTGTACCTGCACGGGGGGGGTGTTCGTGTACCAGCGACCTCTGACAGACCTGTTTTTCTTTTTCTCTTTCTCTTCCTTGTCTTCTGCATTGGCAGAGCATCTTGGATTTGAATTAAAGGGTATGGAACAACCATTCATTTATTAATCAGAAGCCATTAAGAGCTGCCCACATTATATTTATGGCTTTAATGGGATGATTAAAAAATCAGCTGTTCTGTTCTCTTCCCTGGCACCAAGATAGATGTTTGGATTGAAAAAAAAAAAACAAAAAAACAAAAAAACAAAAAAAAAAGCAAAACAAACGACAAAATCTAAATGTAAAGCTATAAAAATGCAGGTGTATTTTTAGCAGCACTTTTTTCTTTGCTTCCAGCAGCAGCCTGGTGTGCGTGGCGTGACTGGGATGTTACAAGTGCCATACGTCTCCTCATTCAACATGCTTTTGTGTATTTAACGGAAAGGCTGGCGTCTGTGCCCACCCAACAGGTTGCCAGCAGGCACCGCTTGGGAACGGGCGGGCATTCCAGGAACAGGAAGGCAAGTTTGAGGAAGATCAGGGATTTTACAGAAATTGTCCCCCTAGACTCACTAACCATCCTCCGGACCCTGTGAAGGGTGGGGACGAGCTTTGCCGTTCCTCCTCCCAGCTTACTTCAGCTAGCAGTAAGTTAGCAGCTTACTTCAGTTCTTGACCAGGAGGAAATTATTGCAAGACAGTTGGCACGAGGAGAGTTAGTCCAGAGAAGAGTGAGCCCGGGGAGGTCGGTGGCCTCCTGTGAGAGTGGGGGGTGCAATGCTGAGCGCCGTGGTGGCAAGCTGCAGTTTGGAAAACACTGCAGTAACTTAAATGCTTTTTAAAATATCCCCTTTGGGAAATTGCCCACTCCTGCCCAGCTGCTCATAGCCATATTATTTTTCTTCCATTCCCCTCAGTCTGTTTTTAGAGAGCTACCAAGTATCTCTTGAGTAAGCACCTGGGAAGTCGAATCCCCGAGGCTGGGTCTCCCTCGAGCGTACAGGCCAGCCTCAGGGAGGGCTTGGTCAGGCAAGAGCAGAGAGATTTATCTTTATCACTTAGCTTCAAAACATTGACCCAGCAACGTCAGCCAGAGCAGATCTTCGCATGAAGGTGCTTCAGTTCTATTTGCTAGAGGTACGGGGACACTGATCTTTCACTGTTGGATCCTAGACTGTCTTCTCGGGTCCCAGTGGTGGAGGGGCATGCACTAGCTGGAGCTGCAGAAACTTGTCTCCCCTGTTTTTTGCACGCCTGATCCACCAGGGTTGGTGTCCATCCCCCAGCAGCTCTTCCCTGCTGCAGAAAATGTGTGCATTTTGTGGTCAGGTGTTTCAGAGAAAGCGGTGCTGCTAATGTCAATACACTTAAATAAACTGCAAAATTGAGGATTTTTGACATCCCTTTTTTGTTGACCTTTTGTCCTTTTCCTCATCCATTCTCAATGTCATCACAGAACTGCTCCCATCCCGCTCCCCGTCTGCAGCCGCCTCTCCTCTGTCATTCGTCTCTCACTGTCATGCGTTGCTGTGACACCCGTGGCTGGACCGTGACTGTCGGCATTGTGTGGCACCACATGGTCTGTTCATAGCGTTTGCTGCTGTAGAGTGACGATGCTGCTGCTGAAGACCTGGTGTTTGTAGAGCATAGAGACACAAATGGACGAGTCCTGCTCCAGGACCTTCCCTTCTCAAATACAAAATCGTAGTGTGCTTTCCCTTATTTTGTTTCTGTCGCCTTTGAGATGGTTTTGTGTAACGTGACGATACTGTGCCATCGAGTGTCAGCTTTAATGAGACGTCAGGAGCCAAGCTAAATTGCTATCAGCAGGTCACTTCATTTTCAGCTTTTCAGCAGTGCTGCCCAGCCTCACACCCCACTGCTTCAGACAGCAGAGCTGTCAGCTCGGGACAGGGACCCTAAATCTGCATTTCTGACGAACTGAACCACTCCCCGTGCAACTCGGGCAAAGGTTTGGGACAGTCAGCCATGCCAGAGACAGGGTCCCATGCCGACATGGTCACCGCAACAGAGACCATGATTTGAGCCTTGGGTGAAAAGTTTTGTTGTGTAGGTAATAAGTGAAAAAAAAAAAAAAAAAAGCCGTAGTTTCGATGGCTTTGCTCTGTCTTCCACGTGATTCAAAGGGAATGATTTATGCTTGGAAAAACAGTCTTTGTAGCAAAAAACACAGCTGGTGAAGAAGCTTTGAATAAATTGGCTTGATGGATGGGTCAATGGTGAAAACCAACCTCCTACCAGGCTTTTTTTTTTTTAAAGTATTTTTGGCTGGGTAGTAGCAAAATTCTCACCCGGTGCTGGCTTTCCCAATTCTGATAAAAGCTCTGCAACTCCTGTCTGAAGGAAAGAGTCGTACAGTGGGAGTCCAGGTCCCAGAGGTGCGCGAGAGCAAGAAAACTTGTCTGCCATGGTTGCTGATGCCTGGAACAGGGCGTCTGTGCAGGGGAAACGGGTCACCGAAGGAGGTGCTTGACCCCAGAGCGAGCTGCTTCCCCCTGGCAGCTCCCCCTGGTTCCTTGCAGTAGAGCGGGGGTGTAAGGTCAGCCGGCACCCAGCCCCCCCGCTGTGAGCAGGTCCCAGGCCGTGCGGCTCTGGCTCCGAGGCGGTGCAGGCAGCTGTGAAGCTGCTGCGGCTTTCAGCCCAGGGGGGACCCATGATTGGCCATTCCTGGTCCTCACAACTGTGCAGATGGAGCCTGGGAGGGTCTCAGCTGCCCGCCTCTCCAGTGACCGGTCGGACGTTGCCTTCTGGCAACTCCACCGGCGCCCAGAGCACCTCATGGAGCCACGGGCCAGTGCGCAGACGAACGGGAAGCGCATTTCTTCAAAGGGTAGCTCTGCAGCAGAGGCACGAGGCAAGCTCTGCTGATTGTGTTTTGCATCTTCATGCCCGGGCTGTCATTCTCAGCCCTCCTTTAGCAGATCTTTCTTCATTCCCATTTTGAGAGAAAGAGAGAAACATTTTTCCTAGCACTTTTTTTTTTCTTCCAAAAATGCTTCTTCCTTCCTAAAATGGCAAGCTGAGATTGGTCTAAACACTCAGTCATCTATAATTTTTCCTTGCTTTCCCCCTTGCTTTTTTGCTAAGGCCTTGTCCCAGGGGTTTCTGGGACCAGACCTGGTTCTCTTCTGGTTTTGAATTTCATTTTTTGGTAGCACTGGGGATATCACAGAGCCCATTCAAGGTATTGAGCTTGGCATGGTGAACCACGCCGAGCACAGCAACCATGGCATGAGTTTTATTGCCTAATCTATACAAAAGCTCCTGCGGCTTTCAGCCCAGGGGGGACCCATGATTGGCCATTCCTGGTCCTCACAACTGTGCAGATGGAGCCTGGGAGGGTCTCAGCTGCCCGCCTCTCCAGTGACCGGTCGGACGTTGCCTTCTGGCAACTCCACCGGCGCCCAGAGCACCTCATGGAGCCACGGGCCAGTGCGCAGACGAACGGGAAGCGCATTTCTTCAAAGGGTAGCTCTGCAGCAGAGGCACGAGGCAAGCTCTGCTGATTGTGTTTTGCATCTTCATGCCCGGGCTGTCATTCTCAGCCCTCCTTTAGCAGATCTTTCTTCATTCCCATTTTGAGAGAAAGAGAGAAACATTTTTCCTAGCACTTTTTTTTTTCTTCCAAAAATGCTTCTTCCTTCCTAAAATGGCAAGCTGAGATTGGTCTAAACACTCAGTCATCTATAATTTTTCCTTGCTTTCCCCCTTGCTTTTTTGCTAAGGCCTTGTCCCAGGGGTTTCTGGGACCAGACCTGGTTCTCTTCTGGTTTTGAATTTCATTTTTTGGTAGCACTGGGGATATCACAGAACCCATTCAAGGTATTGAGCTTGGCATGGTGAACCACGCCGAGCACAGCAACCATGGCATGAGTTTTATTGCCTAATCTATACAAAAAATATTTCAGTGAATATTAAAGAAGTCACAAACCCCAGTAACTGCAACGTTAACACATAGTATGGGGCATGAGGACGTCGTTCATAGGCACTGAACTGAAACACTCGTGGCAGCTTTGCACTGAATCCTTCTCCCAGTCATCCAGCTGGAGAAGCAAATTGCCCCTGCCGACCTCCGTGGATGTCGCCGAGAAGCGCATCTGCTCCGGTGTAGCCACAGAGGAAGAGGTGCCTTTGCCTGCGGTTGCTGCCTAGGTGTAGATCCATCACGCTGCAAGGGACGCCCTAGCATTTCCTTGGAGCTTTGACTGATGTGAATGAATCGCCTCACCTCCAGCAGGGTCTGGGGTCTGATGCAAGCCACTGGCTTTTCTGATTTGAAAGGTGGTCCATGACAAACGGTGGTATTTGAGAGAAGCAGCAGCATGCTGCTTGAATGTTGTGTGTGCATCTGAGCTACCTGGTGCAATGGAATTAATCACCTCCTAGGGTTTCATTAAAAATCCATAACTGTAATTCGTTACTGTATTTTAATTACTCCACCCCCTTTTCTTTGTCTAACACGCTATCACTTCTCCATCCTCATTCTGCTTTTTGACTGTTTTAGGATGTCCCTTCCAGCACCTACATGCTTTGGGGCCTGTTGCTTGGTGGTTTCTAGCACACCGCTGAGCTCCAGGGCATGCAGCCGCTGCAAGGAAAAGGCATTCTGAGTCCGTCAGAGCAGAGAGCCCGTGATGAGAGCATCACAGGGCGGGCGTGCACGTGGTGAGTGGGGGATGCTCGGGGGCTTCCTCGGGAGGCTGCTAAGTTACCGAGCAGGGGGGATCTGCTGGAAGGGAGAGGACAGTCACGGGGCTTTTTGAGGTTAGTCACCAAGTTACGCTGCGGGAGAAGCGTGTGTGAACTCGGAGGGGGTGAGCTACTGAGTGAGAAAGGGCAAAGGCGCAGAGGCAAAAGGAGTGAAGGTCTCTTGAGGGGCGAGTAAGGTTGGGCTGGCTGGCCTCCGGCTCGGGGCAGCTGATGGAGACGGGCAGTGGATCGGTAGGAGGTCTGACGGAGCCCCATTCTCCTCCTCACCCACACGCAGTGCTGGTTCCTGTGCAGCCAGGCGCATCCCTGGTACTGGAGCCCGTTTGTAACTGGTTTCTTTCTCTCCATTTGCAGAAGCAGAAGAGCTCTACCAGAAGAGAGTTTTAACCATCACGGGAATCTGTGTTGCCTTGCTTGTGGTGGGCATCGTCTGTGTGGTAGCTTACTGTAAGACCAAGTGAGTATGGGTGGTTGACAGACGATAACTGGCCAGAGGTTACCAAGTGGCAGTGCTCATGCTTCACACTTTGTGCCCTTCACCCAAATGCTATTTCCAGGAGCTGTGTGCTGTGGTATTCCCACGAGGAAGGTCTCGTGAAGGAGGCCAGTGAAGTGATCTACCGGGCTGTGCCTGAGCAGGATGTTTCCCTGGGGCCATTTGCTTATCCCCTGAATCAGCATCATTTTGCCCAGCCAGGTGATGCTGTGTTACTGGGAAAAGCTGGTCCCCGAGCCAGCAGCCCAGCTCCTGGCTGCAGAAGCACGCTGGGCTGTTGCGCAGGAGCTGCGGGCTCGACTGTGTACATTTCAGGGACTTTCAGAGCAATCTTGATGGAACAAGAGGCTTAGGGGACCTCTTCTATGGCCAGTCTTCCCTGCCTGGACAGTGGGACACAGGGGGTCTTGCAGAGTGGGGGCCCTGCCAGGGGCATGGGTAGGCTTTGCCACTTCGTGATTCATGCAGAACAGGTCAAGTCCCTCGCCACCAAGGCCAGGCCAGGATCTGCTTCCCCCTTTCCTGCTCCCCACTTTTCTCCTCTGCTCCCAGCACCGTGGTGCCCCTGGCTCCACTGCATTGTGCTGGGCCTTGTCTTGCAAAAGGGGACCCTGGACCCAGCTTCCCAAATTGCCCATGATGAGAAATGCTCTCCCTCTTTTGAAAAAGCAGCAGGAGGTGGCAAATGTTGAACGCCTCGTTTCTCCCTGTTTGCAGCTTTCCACAAACACCACTGAAACACCAAGAGACACGGCCTTCTCTATCGTCTGTGTCCCCCGGGCCTCTCTGGGGGCAGAGCGCCCCATGAGATAAGTCTTCCTAATAGATTTTTTCCTTTCTATTTTAAAGGAAACAAAGAAAACAAATGCATAATCATTTACGGCAGAACATGTGCCCTGCCCATCAGAACAGGAGCCTTGCCAACGGGCCAAGCCATCCACGTTTGGATCCTGAGGAAATCCAAATGGCCGATGTAAGACCTTTTGTCTCCGCCTCCCTGCATGTTACTGAGTGCCCATTTTCCACCAGGGATTTGACATGGATGTGTACGCTTACACACCCGCGTGCATGTGTTTGAGGAGCAAAACGCTAACAAACTTGAACGAAAAGACGGGATTCTGCATAGAAACATTTCCAAAATGAACATCAGAAGGGAAATGTGATCTTACATTGAAGCACAGGATGAGATTAGGGCCCTTGGGACAGGTTTGTTTTGATGAATCAGGTGTGATCCTGTTTTCCTCTGAGAGAGATGTTCTCGATGTTTCCTGTTTATTAAGCTACCCCATCAAGCTCCACTTTGCGGCATGATGAATGCGATGGATGCGGTGGTGGCTGGAGCTGCTGTGGTGACCATGTCGTGCCGAAGCATGTCATGGTGATCTGGTCAGCACCGTGTTAGCCCACCTCCCTGTACCAAGAGTGGCGTCCTGGGCAAGGTGGGATGTCCTGGTGGGGTGCCAATGTCACGCCAGTGAGAACGATCTAAGAATTTAGGGCCAGATCCAGAAGGGTGGTTCAGCCACCCTCGTGCCTTTGGTCACATAAGAGTGCCCTCAAACTCTGTGAACTCAATGGGACCGTCAGTGTGCTTAAGTGCCTCGGACCTGGCATTGCCTGGACCAAGGCATTGAAAGGGGTCAGAAGAAGGGAGGGGGGAAGCAGAGCCAAACAAAAAGAAATACTGGTGGAAATGAGTACAGTGAATCTGTTACAAGCTGTGCCGGGCCACCCTTTGGATGTTAAAACTTGGCCAGGTTGAATCCCAGTCATGGAGGAAGAGGGAAAGGGCATTTCTCAGAACCACAGCCCTCTGGCCCCAAGGTACTGACTCCCCCAGAGAGCTTAGTGTCCCTGTGCGAAGCAGTGCTTCTTGTTGGATGAAGTAAAACCTCAGCATAAATATTTGGATTGCACCCAGTGTTTCTGTAGGACTCGTACCTCTGGCAGATCTCGTGTGGTTGCCTTTTTGGTGGTACCCTGTCGGGTGTAGAACCTCCTGGGAGCAGAGGCAATTCTCTGCTCAGTAGTGGTGCCACTGTCCCCCAGGGAACCCCGTGGCTCTTCATGCCCTGCTTCAGTCCCTCTGCCGTAGCCCTTTTCCAGTGCTCACCGTGCAGGGGCAGACGAGCCTCCAGCCTCCTCGCCTCTCCCCGTGGGGTGCGGAGCTGCCAGGTTCACTCAGTCCTCATCTGCTTTCACCAGAAATCATCCAACCAGCTGAATTTGGCTGTGGCAGCATTGGCAAGCTGCTGGCTGATCTGTGTGATTCTTCATGTTTTATAGTATATTTCTAAGAATGTTTCTGCCACCGAGCATGTGATCCGAAGGGAAACAGAGACAACCTTTTCGGGAAGTCACTCCTGCTCCCCGTCTCATCACTGCTCCACAGCCACTCCAACGTCCAGCCAGAGGTGATGTATACCATTTTCCCCTGAGCTTTCTCCTGCTGTTTGCCTTGGGATGCTGTGAGATTCAAAGCCAGTAAAAGGTTTTCCTTTCACCTCCCTTGCTGTTTTCACTGGATGCTTGGTGCTACGCTGGCCCTGCCAGCACCGCGGGGCTCTGCTGGCCCCCGTTAGTGAGAGGTGTGGAAAGGTGTGATCCTCGGCCCGCAGAGAGGCGCCAGCAGGAACCTGCAGCACTGATGTAGCTGGGAACTGGGAGGAACAGGCTTTGCGTGGACAGAAATGGGAGGATGCATCTAGGAAAGGCTTTGCAAGTTGTGTTTGCAACCACAGAGGACACCCACAATAATTCATTAAGCACACACCGGTTATTTGTTTCATGCTTGATATACTTAGAATGCATTGGCCTTGTACGCAAGTGCAAAGCACACAAAATACCACAAAATGTTTTGGCCAGTTCCTCAAAGTTAGATTCTGACCTGGGAGTCAGAGTTTTTCAGCAAAAACCCACTCCTGTGCAATTTATCACAGCTCAGAAAGTTGCGTTAGGATCTCAGCCTCTGAGCACCTCTTTCACTGGAAGACTCTGAAGCTCTCAGGAAAACTGGAGCTATCAGGAAAGCACCAATAATTCTTGCTACACAGGATGAGACATAGGGGGTTTACGTTTCAAAGTAGCCATTGGGGGAAGAGCAGCACGGCGCAGAAGCTGAAGTTCTCACGGTTTTTGAGAGCATTTAAATTGCAGATGGAGCTTCCCTATTTTTATGATGTCCAGAAAAGTCCTTCAAATGCTCCAGAAAAAGTCCTGTGCTGTTTTGAGTTTGGATGTTCAGGTTCTTCCCCTTACACAGCTCTTGTGCTTTTTCCAGTCAGTGATGGTGCTTCCCTAGGAGAGCACTTGCCTTTGAAAAGCGACTGTGAGGTGCAGGGGGACCATGTCTACGACCCATCAATGACATACAGATCGCATTGCATTGGCTTTACAAAGCAAAAGAAGTCCTGGCTTAGTTACTTCACTAGCCCAACGTGTTTGTCCCCATTTGCCCAGGAGGAGATGCATCCTTTCAGCTCAAGCTCAAAGGTGGCTCCTGGCAGGTTTCCTCAGGGTTCGGGCATCCGTCAGGGATGAGCGAGTACTCTGGGCATACCATGCGTCAGATCAACCTTAGATATTGAACTTGGGTTTTCAGGTGAATTCCTCCCCAGACTCCTCTGGCTAGAAGTAGAACAAGTAGAGAGGGAGCCAAGAATGCCTTGCTGGGCTGGAAGCTACTGCCTTTTCTGGGGAAATCCCACCCCTGGTGTTTTCCAGTTTGTTCTTTTTTAATTCATAACGCTGCAGCCCAACCCTGTCCGGGTGTGCGCAAGCTTGAGCCAGGCACATTGGGGCTCCCATGCCTGCAGGGCTGCACCTTGCTGGCCTTCCACGCTCGCTTCAAAGTTCTGGGGCGCCGGGGCCGTCTCCGGGCACCTCCTGAGGACGCAAAGGTGTGTCTGGAGGGCAGTGTTGCCACACGGCAGCTCTGGGGAGGCACCCACCTTGCGTGGCCTCTGGCCCTGGCTACCTGCCACCTACTCTTCCTGAGTCAAGTGCAGCGGGAAGGTGCTTCTTCAAGTCCTGCCAGGGGCAAGCTACCGGCATAGCCCGGCTCCGGGTTAGGCTAATCAGCGCCTCTAACGAGGACGCCATTTGAAGTTATAAATGAGTGTGGTGGTTGCAGCCAAGCATGTGCCCGGAGCCATCGATAATTAACGAGTTCTTGGGAAATCGTAACGAGACCTGCTCTCCTCTGCAAACCCCCACCCAAAATCCTCTGCTGGCGCAGCTCCATCTGCTGCAGTGTGGGAGCTCAGCGCTGTTCCTCTGATGGATCACATATTTCTGGCAAGGAGAGGGGTCAGCCTGGTGGCCATGGTGTGGGTGGGCCCCTGGGGTCCCCAGGGAGTCCTTGCGGGTGTCCTCTTCACACCAAGACTGGAGCAACTGGCGCCCCGTGTGCTCGGCAAGGTCTAGCCAACGTATCGCAGGTTTTCTCTGGCACCTTGGAAGTGTTTTGCTGCCAAAGTCTTTTACAACCCAGTGGAAACTGAACATCGAGGCCTTCCTTTGGTTCGCTTTTCTCTACTGATGATGAAGTAATTTGGAGTGGTTTTTTTCTGGCTCCTTTCTGGTAGCATTTCTGAAGGGGCTGCCACTTGGCAATGCAGAAGGCACATTTGAAGATCCTTTGCGGACTTGCCTTGGCATGGCCGGTGCATTGCTCCACACCCAGAATGCTCTGCAAGCACAAAGCAGAGCTGCCCTGGCCTCCCTCCAGAGGCTGTCCCGTCCCATCCTGCCCCCAACCATCAGGAGGTGGTGTGATAAACACCTGGTAGGCACTGGTTTGCCTTTCTTTACCCTCCAATCCTATCTCCAAGAAGTAGCAAAGGCAAGCAAAGGAAAGGCAGGGTTGGGAAGCTGGGCATCCCCGGCCAGATGTATCCTGGTGAGAGGGAGAAAGGGGATGCCAGTGCAGAGCAGAGTGAGCTGAACCTGCATGCAGCTCTTTGGAGAAGACCTTGGTGGGGATTCCTTGCTAACTGTCCGTGTGGGGTTTGGTCCACAGACATGAAAGCCACACCTGGAGCTTGGAGCGGACGGAGAGCCTGACTTCAGATTCCCAGTCTGGGATAATGCTGTCCTCAGTGGGAACCAGTAAATGCAATAGCCCTGCATGCGTGGAGGCACGGGCTCGCCGCGGGGCTGCCTTCTGCATTGAGGACTCGCGGAGGCCTATGACGCAGTATCGCGACTCGGTGGATTCTCTGCGGGACTCACCGCACAGCGAGAGGTCAGACCCCACTGCTTGGTGCCACCCTGGCGCAGCAGAGGCAAGCCGTGCCCGCGTTTGCCTCTGCCCAGCCCTAGAGCAGCAGCCCCTGGTAGCACTGGAGAACCTCCAGCTCTGGTCCTACCAGAGGAAGGCACTGCCCCATGAGGCCACTCTGGTAGGGGCAGCAGCAAGCACTGCACCCTGCTCACCTGGTGGCAACGTAGGTTTGGAGCACAGGGAGGAGAGGAGAGGAAAATACCTGGCTGCAGTCAGCAACTGGTGAAGAAAAACCGGCTGAGAGCACAGCCCGGGCAGCTTGGTGGGCTGGCAGCTCAGGCAGGGTCTGGCCCTCAGGTATATGGGGAAAAGATGCGTATCCTCGGCATAGTCCTGGATGGCCCGGTGAGCAGGGGTGCTGCCAAGCCCTGGGGCAGGGCTCTGCGTGACCCAGCCTTCCAGGGAACACAAGTGCAGGGCTGAGGCACCATCAGCCACCGAGGGACAGCAACAGTCGCTGTCTTCCCGGGTCTGGGTCCTCATGGTGGAGAAGCACATCTCCACCCTTGCTCCAGCCCTTTGTGGGCAGCCGTGGGCAACCCTGGGTGGCCACGTGGCCACTTCCAGGCAGTTGCCCTTCAGGGCAGTGGGACTTGTCCACAGGGCAGAGAAGAGAGGCGGCATCTCCTGCTTTCTCGTTCCCGTCCCCACCCCATTCAGGCAGGCTGACCCAGCTCACGCAGACACCTCAGGTGTGCTTCACAGGACACACGGGGAAAAAGGCACCGGCCGAGCCACAGAGCCTGGGCAGCCTGAAATGAGCAGAGACACCAATTGGCACTAATCTGCTCCTTAGAAAGAGGCGATGCCGAAGGAAGGGCTGTTTGGAGAGGGGCTGGACCAGACCTGAGTTGCCTCGCTGATGTTGTCTCTAGAGTAGATGAAAGTGGTAGATGCCTTTTTGAGACACAAGGTTTTTGCTAGGTCAGAGGAAGCAATGCCCAGGCATTCCCCATCTGTGGCCTGAGCAGGGGGAGGGCATTTTGGGGACCTTCCTCGGGGACAAGCCGGGCAGCTCCAGAGGGGACAGAAAGCAGCAGCAGGCAGACAAGAGGCAGGGAAGTCTTGACTTATCCTGCTGGGAGATGCTGCAAGGTTTGCAGAGATGTGGGGTGGGAACCACGCACCGAGTCCCTTGGGAGAGGCAGCCCTGGGCTGCACGGTGCCCAAGCACCCTCCGACGCCGGCAGCTCATCCTCCCTCGGCACAGCGGTGCAAGGTCCCCCTGCCCGGTTCCCCGGGAGGTGCTGAGCTCCAGGACCAGGTCCCCGCGCTGGGTGTTCGGCAGAGCGCAGGCACAGCTGGAGGCTTTGGGGGTTGTTCGGTGTCCAAACGGAGGTGTTGCTTCTTTCAGGTACGTGTCGGCCCTGACCACACCAGCACGCCTGTCGCCTGTCGACTTCCACACCACAGCATGGGGAGCCTGCCCTCCAGCCCCTTCCGCATCACGGAGGACGATGAGTACGAGACGACGCAGGAGTACGTCACAGCACTAGAGCAGCCAAAGAAAACAGCCAGCAGCAACAGGCGGTGGAAAAAATCCAAACTGAACGGGCACGTCCCTCACAGAGCCAGAGCCGTCCGGGACTCCTTCTCCTTGAGCAGCGCCTCTTACAGCGAGTCTGACGAGGAGCTGGTGGCCGAGAGCACCCCCTTCCTAAGCACTCAGAACAATGAGGCGGCGCACACGGAGTCGCCCCCGCTCCACCGGCCCCGCGACCGGCGGCCTC